AATTCCTTTCATTCCATACGATATTCGAGACGTTATTTCGCAACCGATTTGCAGTTCAAACAGCCGTTCAGTCAAACCAGTAATGTATGCTTTAAACGCAATGCGCTCTTCGTATACAACGTAACACATTTTCAACCATTTTTGGGGGGTTTTCTCATTGGCTATAATTAAGGGGCGATTAAATGGCACTCATATTAGGCACAGGTTTTGTGACCAACTGTTTGGTCAAAGCGTTGTCTGTATTGCGAGGAAAAAACATAAACAAAACAATCATTGATTTCGCGATTAAATTGTGACCACAATTATAGCGTCGATTCGCAGAGCAATGAGCGGTCGATACGCGGAACGGATGCGTCGATTGAGTGGTCGTATATTCGGTGACTACACGCGCCCTCCGGTGCCGAAGCAGATCCAAAAGCCGCGAATGCATTGCCGCAAAGAGAGGGACGCCTTCCAGTCGTATCACTACCGCAATGAGTTAGTGGTGCAGAGGCTGTCGGCACTGCCCATGGACTTAGACCCGCAGCGCAATCATCTGTATTATCCGCCGCATCCGCAACACTATCGGCTCATTAATACTCTCCGAGAGTTAGGACTTTTCCGGTCAGTGTCTAAACGCGACGGCATTCGTGTTGTCAGACATGTGTTTGTATTGTATTGTCTAATATCTCATTGATTTCATGACATAAAGTGACGAACACTTGGACTTTAAGGACGAGATTAGGCGCCAGAAGACGCTGAGAGGGAAACGCGTTTTTGGCAAATACTCGAAAGATTACAATAAATAGTCATTTGTTTGTCATATTTAGGAGTTTTTAAAACACATGATTCGCAGATAAATATATATTAATAATTAAATAAAACAAATAGTATTTAAAATAAATAACAAAATGCTATGACATTATGCCGAGTGTCGGACAGTCGGGTGTGTGCTCTACACTGGAAGTCCTTTTGCGGCCGCTTTAGTGGCAATTTTAGTGAAGAACATGAGACCCGTTTGGCCGCCGGGAAGATAACTGACGACATACCAGAGCAGTGCTATCACTTGAATCACAGCAAACAGTGCCGTCAGAACAGTGCTCTGAACCTGTATTTTAAACCATCAAAATATCCATTAGTTTATAAAGTAATTGAATGAAACAAATGGTCAAACCTTTAGAGCGAAGTATAGAGTCATGAATAAAGAGCCGAAATATGTGAGAGTAAAGGGAAGTCTCTGTTGAGAGAACAAGTGTTTCATATGACTGATTGGTCCCCACAGGACAGAGAAACTGTCAAATCAAAGAGTCGGTCAAATGTAGTGACAAATTGGCACAAAAATGCATTTAGAAATCAATACAAACCTTAAAACAATGAAAAGTGAGCCAAATGTGAATAAAAGGGCAAACTTTCGGGCTTTGAATACCAGAAGAGGAATATAAAAAGTGGACTAAAAATGAGAAAATGATTGAAATATTTGGTGCGAAAGGATTGCGTGAAAATGAATACCAAAGTAAAACATAATAAACCCATTAATATAAAGACTATGAAACCGATCACACGTTGAGTCCGACTCTAAAATATACAGAAATACATAAATCATTAAAAATTAGTTAAACATATGGTTATTGAAAGTATTACAAGAGATGGTAACCAATCGTTGGCTTCATTTTGAGTATTGGATGACAACGAGAGTGAAGAGAACCAACTCTTAGACGTAGAGGGGGTTCTGTTGTCACCAATTGAGTCCATGTGACTGTCATCGGCGGCGATGTCTTCGGTGCTCAACGGCTGATAAAACCATTGCTTGGCTTTATTGTTGCCGTTATTGAACAGACTCTTGACATTATCGGTGAGCGAAGGTTTGTCACCATTTCTGGCGCTCACGTAGTCTTTCAGATCGGATCCCATAGAGATGGCCGCAGACATGGTTTTCGTGATGATTAGCAATACTCTTGACGTACAGTAGTTTCAGGTGTTGTGAAAGTGTTGGCAACAATTGATGGCAACAAAAGGGGCCTCTCTTTCGCTCAATCAGAGCATCAGGTGATCAACACTTGACAGACAAAGACCTTAATAGAGAACAACACATGTGTCGGCCTTCGAGTGGCCAATGAGTGGTAGGTCTTAGCGGACACTCAACACAGCGTTCAATACAACCGCTATTACAGACTGTAATGTAAACGCAAACACTGTTTGACAACAAACACAACACAACTCACGTGACATCGAGTGAGTCATTGCCTGCAATGCATAGCCTATGAGTGAATAGAGAGTCGTATAAAATGTATTGCAATAGAAATCTCGAGTAATATATGACGAGTAGTGAGACATACAGTGAGGCATACAGTGAGCCATAATAGCAGGCATTTTGTCATTCATTGCAATACTTATCGCTTTTATTGCGTTTTTGCCCACAATTTGTATACCATTTCTAACAATACTTTGCTTTTAAATCACTTGAATTGATCCAAACCTACCATTCAATCCATTCACTGATTATCGCAATTGTCTTCTGATTGTCCATTGAGTCGATTGTGTCTACCGTTTGTGTCGACGAAGAATATAGTGTTTGTTCAGCGATTGTATTGCAATCAGTGAAGCGTCGGATCAACTGATCACTGATTATCACTAGTAATGAAGTTTGCGTACAAAGAAGAGCACCCGTACGAGAAGAGGAGGGCTGAGGGCGAGAAGATCCGCAAGAAATATCCCGATAGAGTGCCCGTAAGTGATGGCCAATGATTGCTATGCGATGTCTATAGTTGTGGTAATGTTTGTCCCGAACAACAGGTGATCGTAGAGAAGGCCCCGAAGGCACGGATCGGCGATTTGGACAAAAAGAAGTATTTGGTTCCATCGG